TAGATCAGTTTGGGGGAATATGTGTGTATGTGGGGGGTCTTAATTACACCAATTGATGTAGGAAGACAAAGTCTAAAACTGGGTAGCACCACTCTCTGGATTTGAGTCCTAGACTTTATAAAAAATGAGAGAGCAAACTGAACACTGCATGTGTGCATGAAGTCCTTCCTCTCTGCTTCTCAATTGTGGATGCAATGTGACCAGTTGTCACCAGTTCCCACCTCTGTGACTTCCCCCCACAATGATGGACAGTGACCTGGAACTGGGAGCTAAAGTAAACCCTTTCTCCCCTAAACTGCTTTTGTCAGGGTATTTTATCATGCTACTAGAAATCAAAGTAAGATGGCTACATCGATCCTCATGGAAGCAAATCATAGAGCAGTGAAGAGTTCTTAAGAACAGTGACTTCTCAATCAGCATAGTTTCACAGACAGTACTGCTGAGCTGTATGTCACAGCTGACATCTCGCCCCACAACCAGGGAAGCAAATGTAGTTGACTTCAAAAGTCCTAGTGCCAAAAAAACTAAAGCTGCTTCCAAACTATGTTTGCTACTATTACACAAACACACACACACACACACACACACACACACACACACACACACACACACGCCCTTTCATTCCTGCTCTACTACACTTCAGCAATTTTTCTTAATTATTACATCCTAAGCATGCAAAATAAAGACCAAAATATATGGGGGGGGTGCTGAGAGATGACTCAGCAGTTAAGAGCTTTGACAGAGGACTTGGGTTCTTAGCACGCACATGGCAGCTAACAACTGTCCGTAACTCCAGTTCCAAGGGATATGACACTCTCTTCTGGCCTCTGCAGACATTACATGTATGCAGTGTACTTACATACATGCAGGCAAAACACTCATACATATAAAATTTTTTAAAAAGCAGATTAGCCTAACAATTGGTAGATTTTATTTGTTCATACAATATAATCTCCTTGGAGAAAAATTACTGAAACGTTTTTTATAAACTTTTAAGGTAACACTGTAAATTTCCCTCTACTCAACTAATATGCTGCTTTTAACTTTAACTTGCTATATAAATAAGGCAGAACTGACCCAATCCAATTCTATAAAATACTTTGCCCTCATAAGTGGGAAGTCTGTGTTGGGGCTTTGTACTTGTTTCTGAAATTGGGGGAATCTGACTATTCAAGGGTTCCCACATCTACTCCATCTCAATTGTGCAAATCCCAACATTTCAATCAGTCCACCGCGGGCACAGAGTTTACTCATGCCTGCTTCATCTCATCCCTCGCTTTCCCCTGACCCTTCCCAGCTCTCCCCTTCCACGTCCTCATACCATGCATTGAGGAAGTTTCTCTTTGGATCATTTTAACAGACAGGAAACCTGATTTAGGATTCCATAGGCAATGCCATGTGTTCCATAATTCTCTTTCATATAGACTAACTTCACATTCTCAAAAACAAAACAAAACAAAACAAGACTAGAGGAAAAAAGGGTAGAGACCATAAAGGGGTTATAAAAGCCAGTCATCCTCCAACCTCACGCTCTAGTATTAGACAGTGACCTAGCATTTTTTTTCTGCTTCTCACCCGACATTTAGCACTTCGATCATCACATGGACCAGGCTCCTTATTTGTCATTCATTGTACATAGCCCTGTTCTTTGTCATGAAATTTTAAATCACTGAATTCCCTTCCATATCACCCACATCACAGGTTTACATGACACTGTCTTAATGGCCTCTTATGGACCACAAGATTAGATAGGTATTTTAGGTATTTGTCTTCTTGAATATCTTTATGTCCCCATCCTCTTCGCCTTCAAATCTACCCCTTGAATTATTTGCTTTGTTCCACCCTTGAACCTGGTACTAAACCAAGGAACATAAATAAAACACACACCTTGGAACTATATAAAATATTCTAAGCAGACTCCTGTCTGTAAATGGCAGTTCTTTTATTTGAATGCACTGCCAGCTCATTCTCCTATTCTCAAGCAGTAAGACTGTCTCAGTACTGTTATGTGCCCCTTCACTGGTTCTCGTTCTAATCTTCTCCAATACTTTCATTGCTTCAACAAATCTAGAAAAGATATACCCCAAATCTCTAAAGGAAACCTCATCTCAAGAGCTTCTTCCTCAGCTGGGTGTTGTGTAGACCCATAAACACAGCACTCAGGAAGCTGAGATAGAACCATGAATTTGAAGTCAGCCTGGGATATGAAGTGGGTTCAAGGATAGTCTAGACCATATCATTAAGACCCTATCTTTTTAAAAGATGAGATACAGAGAGCACTTGCCTAGTGTGCATCTGGTCCTGGGTTCCCCAGCAGCATGTAAGACTGGATGTGGTGGCCCACGCCTATAACCTCAGCACTCAGTACTCAGGAGATGGAGGCAGAAGGATCAGAAGCTCAAGGTCATTTTCAGCTACATAGTGAGGTAGGTTAAATGAGAGCCTATCTCAAAACAACAACAACAACAAAGTTATGTATGGTTGTGCATGTTTGTAATATCAGTACTTGGGAGGATGAGGCAGGATGGCTGTCATAAGTTCAAAGCTAGCCTAGGCTACACAGTAAGACCCTGTCTCAAAAAGCCAAAAAGAGGGAAAAAAGAAGACAGTATTTCCTCAAAGCACCTGAAGAAGCCTGCTATCCTGCTGGCCTGGCCAGCTTCTCCTCAGTACTACCTGTCTTCCTCTCAGATGGCATCACAGGTTCACCTTTGAACAGGACGGTCTCTGCCTTATTTTAAAGCAGTGCCTTCTAAGATCTACCATCTGTTTCGTTAGCTTTTTTCCTGTCTTTCTTGCCAAATGTCCTATATAAGTAGATATCCATATCCTTAACATTTTCTCATTAATTCCATGAATCTGGGTTCCATTTTGGACAATTTTATGCAAGTTTCATTTTTAAAGGTCACTAAAGAAAGACCTAGCCAAATCTCAAGGCCTTCTCCCTTACCACCTGCTTTCTGATAGCTATCTAGCTCATCATTTTTTCTGTATCTCAACAATTACTATTCTACTCCAAACCATCTTTTTGCACTGACCAGCAATTGCATAATGAAACTAGTTTCTAATTTGTCCTAATTTCAATTAAACACAGTATCAAATTATTTTCTTGCTGGGCGTGGTAGGCATGCCTTTAATCCCAAGGTAGAGGCAGGTGGATCTCTGTGAGTTCAAGGCCAGCCTGGTCTACATAGTGAGTTCTAGGCCAGCTGGGGCTACAGGGAGACCCCGTCTCAAAAAGACCAAAAAAAAAAAGCCTTTTCTTTAAAAGCTGCAGTATTATTACATCCATGCCAAAACCCTATAGTCACCCTCTCCACCCCCACCACATCAAGACTAAACTCATCTTCCTAATTTTCTAGGCTTTAGGTACTTATTCTAGCTTACCTGAACCCATGTGCCTCAGTCAAGTCTATTTCTCTGTCCTTCTGAGTGCAAAGCTGAGTCCTTCTCCTTTACTGTACCAACTTTCCTTTTCTTTCATTTAAATCTGCTTCCAAAGTAAGAGTCCCACACTTTCTCCATACCAGCTCACAAATCACTTCCTTTTCCTAACTGCATCAGCACAATGCCCAATTTACTCATGAAACATCAAAGTGCTAATATAATGTGCCTGCATATAAACTACTGCCACCTGTCCAACTTAAGGAGGGAGGGAGGGAGGGAGGGAGAGAGAACATAAACTAAAGGCAGATGCATAGCTTAACACCAGCAATTTGATTTTGCCTATTTACAAAATATAGATTATATATTATTTCCTTTAATTAAAAAGATAAGGCAGGGACTGGAGAGATGGCTCAGCGGTTGAGAGCACTGACTGCTCTTGCAGAAGACCTGGGTTCAATTCCCAGCACCCACATGGCAGCTATGAACCGTCTTTAACTCCAGTTCCAGGGGTATCCGAAGGCCTCTTCTGACCACGGCATTGCACAACACGGGTGAACTCACATACATGCAGGCAATACACTCATACACATAAAAAATAATTGAAAAAAAAGGCAGACAGGTGTGGTGGCCCACGCCTTTAATCTCAGCACTTGGCAGGCAGAGGCAGGCAGAGCTCTGTGAGTTCAAGGCCAGCCTAGGGAGTTCCAGGTTACAGGGCGACTCTGTCTTAAGACACACACACAAAAAAGCTACTAACATTTGAGAAAACTTCATTTAAAAAAAAATCTAAAACCTTACAAACCAATGAAGGACAAAGTGTGGCCCCTCCCCGACCCATTTTATTTGCCTGTCCAAACAAACAACACAGTCATGGTCAATCTGGGGATTTCAAATGCACCTGCAATTGTTTCCTTTCTGTTGACTTTCTGCAGAAGTTCCTCTCTGAGTGTACCTCCCTATGAACCTCCCCCACAGTAGAAGAGTTTTGGCAGTTTTGAAGGTGTTGGGGGAAACCATACAAATAAGCTATGCTAATACAAGTGTGCACACACAACACGCACTAAAGTTGTTTACTTCAAAGAAACACACACACACACACACACACACACACACACACACACACACACACACACAAACTTAGGCCTAGAGAGATGACACTGGTTAAGAGCACTTACTGCTCTTCCTAAGGACCCGGATTCAATTCCCAGCACCCACATCAGGACGATCCAACTGATTTTAATTCCAGCTCCATGGGAATCTGATACCTCTGCCTTCCACAGGCACCAACACACACGTGCACATACCCCAACCCCCGGCATTAAAATTAAAAAGTAGTTTTAAAAAACTTTAACTTAATTCCCAGTATACTGAGACATGAGCATATGTGTATATAGATTAGAATAATGAGTATGTCTTTCCTACTAGGTTTTTTAAACCTTCCTCTAAATTAGTGTATTTTTAAAAATTGAAGTGTATTTAATACCTTTTGTTGCCATTGTCAGAGTAGCTACTGAGAGATGAATAATGGAATGAGCCTGGACTGCTATGACTGTTGTGATAAAAGAACATCAAGGGCTGACCTGATAAAAAACATGAAGCAAGTCTGCCACTAGATTGGTGTCCTTATATTTTATTCAACACTATACAGAACAGATGCTCAAACAGTTAATGTTTTGCTGAAATAAGGGGGGAGCATACCAAAGTACCACCTGAAAAGAAATGCAGAATGAAATCATTATTAATCAAAACATTTCTAATGGAATATTTAAGAAAATAAAGAGGCACTTTACATCACAGAACTAAAAATTAATCAGGGCAGGACTCTACTGCCCACAGTGGTACTTAAAGCATTTCAAAGTAGTCATTTCTTAGCTTTTTGACTACCTTTGGATGGCAGAGGGTGTCATCAAACCCTTTATAAACCTAGGAACTATGGATCTTCTTCCCTAGAGAGGCAATGAACATATACACATGCACACAAACCCACCATTTCATATATACCTTCAAAGAGCTCTGGACTCCAGGTTAAAAAGTCCTGTGTTAAGGAAAAGACTAGTTACTTTAAAAGGGACAAGGAAGTAAAATCGACATAAAAAGTTTCCTGGTATAAGAGACATCATACAGGGATTTATCAACAATCCTGAAGCTTCTGCGAATTTCTTATTCTTTACCGCCATTTTGGTTACAATTTGCCTACTATATCAAATGGTACTTTTATGTGTTTTATCATTTTTTCTGTGCTTTATTGTAAAATTATGACTGACTCTGAAGACCTCTAAAAAGCCATATTAAATATTAAGCAAGAAAGTGAGGCCTTGTAAGGTCTAGAAATTATAAAATAACTTAAAAGATAAATTTTTACCCACTCTATGTAAAAACTGTAAAGTTGAGATCTAATTGCCCAAGAAGCATTTCTCAGAGTCATGGTATGGCTCAGGGTAGAGGGAGAGGAGAGCAAGCAGGGAGGAGACTGCCTTGGGAGTCTACAGAGGACTATGGGCAAGTCTGGGAAAACTTTTCAATAGTTTTTCTGCGCTAATTACGAATGACAAAGAACAGAGATGGATAAGGAAAGAAGCCTTGTTTGACAGCATACCTCACAATACAAAGTGAGAAAGGTAAGTGCCAATCACCAGCTGTGGCCTTGCAAGAAGATCCAGGCATATAAAAATAAGACTTACACTGAAAGTTGGAGTAAGCTACATCCAGCAGGCATCATTACAAAGAGCTAGAGCCCAGGACCTTCCCCCACAGAAGACATGGCAAAGTTTTGGTCTTTCACAGTCAAATGAAAACCAAAACTGAATGATTAAAAGGCTGATGCTTAGTAAGTCTGCGCTAGTTGACTGGTATTCTCTAAGATGGTGACTTTCTTATACTGTTGCCCTAAATTAATGTCTAAATGCCAACTCAAGATTGATACTTCTACTAAACTGGCTTAGGTGGCTAGAGAATGTTACTTTTGTGGCCTTAACCAAACAAAAAATATCTAAGAATAAATTTTCGCTTTACTCCACTATACTTCAGGATAAAGCCATTTATTTTGTTATATGTAACAGAAAGTTACTATGTTTTAGATAGAAAAGCAACCTTGAAAACACCAACTCTACGGAACATTAGCATCATCTCCTAATGTTTTATTAATAATATTATGTTAAATCTTCAGATTTCTTTTTGGTATTCACAGTATCCTTTTCATATTTTTAACAAATTAAGGCATATTTTTTAACATAATTTTTATCTCAAGAGGAGGTCTGACTTTCCCTTTCTTCCAAGATGATTCATTTAGGCAAAATATGGTGATGTTTTCTAAATCAGCTTTTGTCCACTGCTCAGAACTAAGTTCAGTTTCTTTTATTATCGGTTTTAAAACTATTTCAAGTAATTTTGCATTATCAAAAGCATCACTTTACATTAGGTCCTTATAAAGTACTCCACTATTCTCTGATTAACTAAAGTTATCTATTACAACTTATATACTCTAATTTTACAGGACACCAAATCTCTTCTACTGTAAGTATTATTCTGGCCAGTTTTCATCACATGTCAATTATTTAACAATGAAATTTCCAAACAGGTTATCTCACTGAACTACTATTTGCTCAATAAAAACGTTACACTACTATGGCTACTACTTACATACAATGTTTACCCCATATTCAGGTTTCTAATAAGTCAACTACAAGTTGAAATTCCGTTTTTGAGGCATTTCCTGGTATACTAGGCAGTGCATTAGAAAAGAGATTATATTGCATTTAGGGCATAATAATTATCTTTTATCCATCTATGCATAATTAACAACCATTCAAAAAGAAAGTGCAAATGTGCAAATGAGAGAGAACAAAACAGTTTCTATACATGTCATTCATAATATATGATATAAATCTAGGCAACTGAAAACAACTGCTGACAACATCTTTCTGAGCATTAAATGACACCACCAATTTTGTTTTATATGTATTCTCAAAGATCCAAAGAATGCAATAGACATCTTAAATTTTCAAAAATTTCAGATTAGGATTATTACCATTGTTTTCACAGATCAAAAAGAAACTATCATTACTTTTGTATATTTCCAATAATAGAGTCCAAGTAAGAACATTTTTACCTAATCTCATCTGGGATCATAATTAATACTATAAGTTTATTTGTGTGAGTTAAAATAGTATCACTCATGAGAAACAATGCCAAAATTATTATGCTAATAAATTATGTTAAAGGCCTAATGAAGAAATACTTTAGCAACTATGAGGTACACACTAGTTGTAGGCATGAGGAACGTTTATATTGGCTCTTTTTGGGTGTATACATTAAATGCAAAATCAGAAAGGAATCATGCAAAAAATCCAGTTGCCCATGCAAGCACCCCAGAGTCTAATCCTCTCCTCTCAGTCTGCTGTCAGGCCACAGTAGTGTGGAGACTTGTAGGCTGCTGTCCTTGTTGTAATGAATGGGAAGAGGTTGACAGTGGCATGGTCGAAACCTTCACCTCTTCTTCCCCTGTGGAAAAGTCAGTCATGGTCTAGTTACGGGTGACTACATTTGTTAACAGTCCCTTTAAAAATGATCTCAATATTTGGAATAGTGATACATACATCAAATACATGCTTAATGGTTGGAATCTGGGTGTGAAACAAGACATGAATTTTAAAATACATAAAGTTAACTGTCTAGAAAATAAATTCTAAACACACCCTTAACCTTAATACTATTTTAAGGTAAGATCAAACATAATAGATTTAGATTATAAATATACCACTAAAAATAAATGATTAAAAAGAAAGAAAAGAATAAAGACCAGGAAAGCCATTCTTTTCCAAGACAATTGGACCCCTTATAAATATGGACACTCCTTAGTAGTAATAGTTTGTCAAAAGAAAAAAAGATAAAAGAAAAAAAACCATTTAATGACCTACAGGAAAGAAAACTGATTTTAAAAGAAGAAAATTATAAATCCATGTTTCAAAGGCATAAGTCATATATTAGGAACAAATAATAGATATAAACATTAATGCATCAAATTAACGTATAGCATTTGAAATATAATGTATACTTTTGAAGGAACTGGAAAGTAGTAAAATACTAACAGAATGATCCAAATGCCTGAAAGTGAGGTGACTACTAGTCAGAAGCCACACATGAATGAGCCCAGTTCTCCTGATTATAACTGATAATCATTTCACTACAACTTCACAGGTGACACAAAATTCAATAGTCACTGTGAAAACAGTTAATATAGAAACAAAGTTTAAAGAAAAATGCCCTGTCAAAAGTAAAATCTGAATTAACAAAAACATAAAAAAAATCTCAAACCTAAACATTTCAAGTATTTTTTAGTAATATCTTGAAACAACACTGCTTACAGACATACACTTAACTATTGTTTGTTTTCCAAATCATTTTCAGCATTATGGAATAAAAACATCTTAGCAGAGAATTCATTGAAAAATAAATCTTCAAAATTACATTTGGAAAGACAGCTTAGCTGACAAAGAGCATAAAGAGTCTTTCAAGCCACAGAACAGGTCCTCTCAGGTCTTTAGCACATCAGCAAAGTTTCTCAGAACCCCAAGTACATAGTAAGGAGGCTGTGCAAAAGCCAACTTAAACTAGATTTCTTGGTGAGAACATTGATACTAATAAGGACCTATGCTAAGTCAATAAATGCCATTCTTTTTTGTTTATATTTCTTTATTATAAGTCATACACTTAAGCTGGGCCAATGTGTCTCATAAACATATACTACTGATTTTAAAAGGGGGGGGGGTACTTGCAAGTATGTGAGAGCAAAAGTCAGTTACTATGGGGAGAAAGCCAAGTTAAAGCACACGCCAGTAGTCTTCAATTGTGAAGGAGAGCATCAGTATTGCAGTGCAAAAACACTGCTATTATTGAATTTGAGATCTGGGTTGTTATCCTATTCTAGCACTAAGTGAACATGTAACCTAAACAAATTGTTCAAGTTTTCTGGAATACAGCTTTGACGTTTCTACAATGCAGGACAAGCTTTGCCACTTTTTAGGGCAAAAGCACATGGTTCCCATTAATAACTGGACTCACTCTAACTACCCACTTACTAATCAAAATTCCCTACCAACCAAGAATATTTCAAAAATCCTTCCAAATTTAGCAAACCAGATATGCAGTCCAGAAAATGCTGCTAAAATATCTCATAATATTTCCTACTTAAGGAAATAACCAATTTTAAAACAAAAGTATTTTCAATTAGACAAAGGAAATGGAAGCTGAATTTCTGTCAAACCTCTGGCAAATGTTCTTCCCATGATAGGTTTCAGATATGTCAGTTTTTCACAGTAAACTCAAACAAACCAAAATAAAAATTTTAAATACTAATATATTATAAACAGACATGGTATCTGTATGACATGACTGGCTGTGCCTCTTATTTGCTCCTACAGGTCAGGGACCCTACTCTGCCCTACATAGCTAAAGAATAAACATATACTCTTTCCTAGTATAGAATTAGTTCTAAGTAAGTATTTCTAAGGAGGTCCCACTAAAATGGCATGTAGTCTCCATTACTAAAGCATTTCAGCTACTCTGAATAAGGTATCATGATATGACTAATATGGGGATACAAAGTTGAGATCCTTTCAATAATTCAATTCAAATACATCCTGGGGTTATGGGAGGCAGATATTGCATAGGTAAATTACTTCAAATTAGATGTATTAAAGATGTATATAGCATTTCAAATTTTTCCCTTTGTCATACATAATAGTTACTAAAAATCCTAAGTAATCTGGCTATAATTAACTATTCTAAGGCTTAGTACACTCAGTTTTCTAAGGCCCCTGTCAAATATTTACAAGTAATGACAAAATTCTAGTATGGCTCTTAACCATTTTAAATATTGTAGTAAAAAAAAAATTTTTTTTTAACTGAGACAGGGTCTCCCTGTAGCCCCACCTGGCCTGGAACTCACTATGTAGACTAGGCTGGCCTTGAACTCTCACAGATCTGCCTGCCTCTGCCTCTCAAGTTTTAGTAAATTAAAATCTAATAAAAAGCTTAATTACAAGTCACCATTTAAATTCCAAGCAAGGATGCATAGCCAAAATTTGAAAATCTGAAATAACTCTCCCTATCCCACACCAAATTAAACAATGACTCAGAACTGAAGTTGGTGACTGCATTTTTAGCATCTTTTAGCATTTTTGAAAAAAAAAAAAGGTTTTTAATGCTCTGTGGTTGAGTATATGGCAAGAGGTCAAAAAACTCACAAAGACAGAATTATAATGATACATCTTAAAAATAAAGTATCTAGATGAAGATTTCAAATAACTAACATGAAGACAACTACACTTAACAAATCAGTGATCTCTAACTGCTAGTGGCATTTCCAAAATATCTAGTGGCTTGAAACATTTGGATTAAAAGTCCTCTTGGGTGCTAATGAACAATACAAAACTCAGAAATCAGAACAGACAGCCCAGCAAAGATGGCCATGTCCTAAGTCAAGAGAAGGTACCAAATGGGTATAACTGAACTCAAGTCCCACATGAAGTTCATGCTGTTTGACCTCTATCCCAGCTCCTCATCTCATCTACCACAACTTTACAATTTAGAAGCACCTCTTGTTATTTAAGATAGCTCTGCTTTATGTGATGGCATGCAATATCTGTCCCTATCTCTTTATTCAGGATGTCTCCAGCCACATAAAAGGCCTTTCTCATCTGTTGCTAACCCAAATGCAAGATACCACATTATAGACCAATTTCTAGTTCTTCAGTGAAGCCTCCCAATAATTATTACCTATACTGTCTCTCTGATTTCAGGACCTACATATACAGTTTACCACGTCCACATAGAATTTAATCTTATCTCTTCAATTGCAGTCTCAATGACTTGGAAGAGCATCTATATTTCAGACTTTTGTCTTCCCCATATGGTCTAGTTCATTGTTAGGAAATCTGAAGCTGAAATATTAATCATAATTTGCTTAATACTTTGTTTTTAAATGTTTGGCATATTTAGGGGAACTTTAACTTTCAATGTCATAACCAGTTAAAAGATGCAGTGCTAGAAATTAAAATGTCTTCTTTCCAAATTATTGAAACAAAGCAAACCAAAACAAAACTACATTCTAATATGCTATCTTGAATAGAAGAAAAGGAAAAGGCATATAGAAATCAAAGACTTGGTGCTTCAAAAGTGGTTATCACAAGGAGGAAAGGACTGAAAACTGTCACTCTGGATTACCTACTACCTAGTATTAATTCTACTATATCTACAGCAGCAAATAAGGCCCAGCTACTTGTCTAAAACATGAAATGCTGCTGGTCTTATGGGAATATAGTCAATGACTACTGATGGTTCTCTGTAAATTCACCCATTAACCTTTTTAAAACACAAGAGAATGAACATTTTAGTGGTAAAATTATACTACTATAATAATATTATGCCATGGCATAACTTAAAGGATATGAGAGGGATGTGAAAACAAATTTTATCAATTATGAACAGAGTGAGAAACTACTCTATTTTACTTGAAGAGAACTGGGAATGGAACAAGCGCTAAACATCATTTCTAAACCTCAAATTAAATGAGAATACTGTTAATAAGAGTGACTCCCTTTGAAGAGACCTCATCTAAAAAAATGCTATATAGGATCTTAGAACCCCAGAATTCTGAAACCTTCAAGGGCAGCAGTACAAAACCAGAAGTATTCTGGCATCAAAGTTGTATTACCTTATGTATTGTAATAAATTTTCTCAGAAATAAAAGCACAGCCAACTAACAGTGTTAAATATCTCTCCTTGAACAATTTTTTCACAGAAAGTATGTTTGTGACATATAATATGCTCTTAAAACATTAATATTTGAAGTTTTCAAATATTAAGCATTTTACTGGTAAACACAGCAGTTTTCATGTGCATGTGTATGTATCAGTCAAAACAAGTCATTGCTATAGTAGTCAGAGTGGCTTTACCCCTCATGCTCTCATGGAGTTTCATTAAAGTTTTAAACCACTTTCTTTTAGAATATAAAATGAAATATCTTTACTGTGGTATTGGACTTTATAGCACCATAATTTCAGAGCCCTTTCTTTCCTTTTTCTGATTTGTGGACCATATGCGGGTTTAATGACTATCCTCTTAAATAAAATACTTCCAAACAATAAGTAGGCATAATACTCCACCATCCTTATAAAGCTCCATATTACAAGGCATCCATTCAATCAAAAATACTTTTTAAAATTAAAGACATAAGCTTTTCATAGAAATTTCTAGGGCTATTAAGTACTCTCTGTTACGCAGCAGCTCCCTCCTTACCCACCCAACAGCCTGAAAACACGAATGAATTCACAAATTCTCAGAGGTTTTAAATGAACCTACCTGCTATGGGGATCCCTCCCAGACCTGTGTTGTGCTGTGGCGGGAGATTCAAGTCCAAGAAATTACTATTTGAGGTGGGATTTGCTGTGTGGTTCAAGTGCATGATGCTATTGCGTGGAAAGGCCATCCAAGGATATCGGGCTGCCTGGCCTGGAAAACTGAACGAATTATAAACTGCTCGGTGCTGCTGAAATTGAGGGAACCTCTGTGGCACGACTGAAAAGGTGCTATTGAGAGAGTTGGCATTTGTAGATGCAGCAGGGTGCAGGAATCCAGAGCCTGGACCTTTGGCGGTTGTAGTGTGTGAAGAGGAGTTCTGAAGAGATGTGGGAGACAGGGAAGGTTGGTCTTGGACGGACAGTTCCTTCTCAATCAGGTCTGCTAAGGCTTTGCGAGTGACATCAAAGGGATCAAAACCCAAGTCATCCTCTGGTTGTTTAGAAGAACCAAAGCCAAATGCTGCTTGCCAGTCTGTAGACGATGATACTGGGATTGTTTCTGTTGGAAGAAAATAGTGATGAATATAAAATCTATAGTTCACTTTTACAGTTAATGAATAGTTGCAACAGTGTAAGTTAAACATGCCATATTACGAGAAAAACAAGAATGCACAGAAATTATGTAGGATCACTAATTAGAGAGGGCCTCATAAATTTCTAGCAGTGATTTCATTCTTAAATTATCAAGTTCAAAAACGGAATGATATAGACTAACTGTGCTAATCAGAAGAGGGGGAAAACCCTGCTACTCAAATTATATCCAAAAACTCATAAGCAAAACCTACCTGTCATTTAAATAAAGATTTTAAAATATTTTATTTATTATTTTTATTTTATGTGTACGCATGTATTGCCTGCATGTATGTAAGTGCACCCACCCGTGTCGTGCAATGTCCGAGGAAGACAGAAGAGGCCGTTGGAGGCCTTGAAATTGGAGTTACTGACAGTTGTTAGCTGCCATGTGAGTGCTGGGATTCGAACATGGGTCTTCTGCAAGAACAGCCAGTGTTCTCAACTTCTGAGCCATCTCTCCAGCCCTATTTTTCTTTCATTTATTATTTTAAAGTAAGATTTTAATTAGTAAAGCTTACTCTCAAAATATATTATATATCAAGAAAAAATAATTTAATTTTTAAACTCAAATTAGATGTTTTCATTGTCTATTTCAGAGGTGCTATTGTGCATATTAATCTATGGCATCTTTCACACTAACAAGAAAACTGAAAATGAGCACAGAGACAACCTCCTCTCTGCTTCCTGATGTCATCTGCTCTGCTCAGCCAGGTACTCCCCACTAAGATAGACTGACACCTCTGAGAACAGCAAGAGGGAGATGCGAATTCCTGTTCTTCACAAAGAGCAATGACAATCACTCCGGTCTTCAGTGTAGTTTCATATGAACGTTACACAGTAAAAGGTACTGAAATGCTTGATGCATAGTTGATTGACATTGTGCTTTGGATATTGGTTAAAGCACATTTTTCAAGAGGGTAAATAAAGGCATAACTCATACAAACTGTGTCAAGGTTTTAAAAAAATAGAAATAGCTAAAAAAAAAAAGAGAGAGAGAGAGAGAGACAACATAGTCTTTAAGCTAAGTAAGTTGCCTCTGTCAATTAGGGGAAAGAGCTTCAATTTGACTGTATAACACAAATCTGAATTTAAAACTAAGTCCTCAGTACTTCCCAGAGGAGTATGTCAAAAAATGATATAACACAATTTCTGGAGAAATCTGCCCTCTAAATACAGTTATTTCTAGGTCACACAACTTATCTGCTATCTTATTCCATGTAATTTAAATAATTTACATTTTTTAAGAGTGGAGGAAAAGAGATGAACGTATATGCACCAATATGTATCATACTGGTCTGCCAACAGTATATTAGAATCTAATTACCAGTGCTAGGTACTGCTGTCACACACCTGATGTGAAGAGGCTCTGTGGTTCTGGAGCTGTAGGCCAATCACTGGATGTCTGTGGAGAGCTGGGAAAAGGAGGAAGCCCACTTGGTATAGGGTTGGGATGACGAAAATTGTCTGAGAATAATGACTGTGACTCTGTTCCTGCCCCTTCAAAAGGGGACCTTGCACTGTGATTGGATGAACTGATGGGGATGACAGGATTGGATTTTGATAAACCAGGTGGTGGTGAAGGCGTATCACTGTTAGATATCTAAATAAAAAAGGAAAAGGGAGAAATCAATGTAAGTTCAGATATTTTATTTATTATTTTTATGTGTATGTGTGTATCGCCTGCATGCAGGTAAGTGCACCCATGTTGTGAAATGCTGGCGGAGGTCAGAAGAGGCTGTCGGATCCCCTGGAACTGGAGTTACAGACAGTTGTTAGCTGCCATGTAGGTGCTGAGATTCGAACCTGGGTCTTCTGCAAGAACAACCAGTGTTCTTAACCGCTGAGCCATCTCTCCAGCCCCAATAAGTTCAGATATTGTAATAAATCTCAATTTAAAAGGTCTGCGAATGAATGTATTCAAACAATGGTCTTCAGACCAGAAAACTTGGAAGACCTTGTCATGAATATATGGAGTTTCAGAAAACCAAGCAATCATTAATTTATACATGTACTCTTTTCTTTAAAAGGAAAATCTAATTTGCTTGAAAAGACTACACCAGTCTTATTTCCTTTCATAATCTTACTTCTTGCATTTTCCAAACAAAAAAATGTTTCTCAGTGTCTAAGGTTTCATTATAGTAATTTGTTCAAAAGTGAAAACTTTACAGGGGCTAAGACAAATTATCAGGAAGGTTCAAACTGGCAGTGACTGACTCTAATGACTACATTCTTTTGCTAGATGAATTTTCATATTTTAGTTTTTAATATTCTCACTATTTTAGTTTTTAACCAAATTAAAGGAAAATCTTATCAAGTTTTTCTCAAGCAGGCATTAAAAACTAACTATGGGGGCTGAGAGAACACTTCTCTACAGACAAGACCCTGGGATCAATTCCCAGCACCAAAAAACCCCCCAAACAAAGCCTACCCTTATTCTGAGAATAAAACTATGATTCCAAAGTATTTAATTCAAGGAACTGATCAACAGGGATTTGCTTCTCCTCCTCCCCGCCCCTTAACTTACTTATACAAACAAAATGTCTCAGCATTTAAATTTGGGGGAAATGAAAAGCATTAGTACTGCAAAAAATTTATTTAATTTTACCAGTTGGTACTACTCATCAAGGGATGCATGAAAAATGATTTTGAGATGACTCAGTTTATCACATTTAAGAAATGAATTTCCAACACACACACACACACACACACACACACACACACACACACACACACACCAGCTCAATACTATTAATAGAAATTCAACTGAAAAAAAAGGGCATTTAAATCCTTGTCACAGGGCTGGGAATATATATCGTTCAATGACTGAGCACTTGCTTAGTATGGGTGATGACTAGGTTCAATTCCCAGCACTACACCAGAAAAGAACAAACAACCCTTGTCATAGCAAAAACATTTCAATTCAAAACTTGTAAGCTTCTGTATCTGGGGGATGTAGGGGGTACATGTTCATATGAATGTGTATATATATCTGTGCACATTTATGCGAAGGCCAGAAATCCATGTTGGGAGACTTCTTCCATGTTCCCCACCTTTAAAAAATTTTAAATTGTATTTTTATTTACTTATTGTGGGGGGAGGAGCACACATGCCAAAGGTCAGAGAACAACTTCAAGAGTGGATTCTCTCCTTCCACCATGAGGGTGCCAAGGATCAAATTCAAGTAGTCAGGCTTGGAAGCAAGTGACTTTACCCACTGAGCCATCTCACCAGTCCTCCACCTTAGTTTTGAGACAGGATAGCTTACTGAACCTGGAGATCATCCATTCAGCCAATGAGCTCAGGGATCCCGTCTCTGCCCTTCTACCATTGGGATTACTGATGCATGCTACTGTGCTTGGATTTTACAGGGATGCTGGGGATCCTAATTCAGGTCTTCTGAGACTATTTTTATATGTGAGATGTATACGGCATTAAGATAAAACTCTGGGTCTGGAGAGATGGCTCAGTGGTTAACAGCACTCACTGGCTGCCTTCTAGAGGACCTCAGCTTAGTTCCCAGCACCCACTTGGCAGCTAACAACCATCCATAACTCAGGTTCCAGGCGATCTGACACCTCTTCTGGCCCCTGTAGGCACTGCATGACATGCAGGGAAAACAGTCATACACATAGAATAAAATTAAATACATTTTTTTGAGAGATAGAACTCTGGCCAGGCATACTGGTGAACATCTTTAGCTCCAGCATTTGGGAGGCAGAGGCAGGCAGATCTCTATGTGTCTGAGGCCAGCCTGGTTTCTAATGAATTTCAGGCCAGCCAGGGCTATATGGTGAGATCCTGGGGGGGGGGGGGGGGGGG